GTCATTAAAAATTTGCTTTCTTACTTTGGCTGGTCATTATATTTCTGTTTATGAAAATCACATCTCCCTTGAGATCCTTGTAGTTCAACTAGGAGAGATAAAAGGGAGTGTGTAGTAGATTCAGAACAAGAAGAAATGAAGACTTCTGAGAATTTAACTCAAGAAACTGCTAGTCAAACTATGTAGGGTTTGACCCAGATGGGCCTGGTCCAAAAACTTCAAGGCCACATCTGTGCTTTCAAATCCATACGTTTCAAGCACAGGGAGGAAGGAGTTAGACTTGGGAGCTCATCTGAAAAAAAGATTCAAAGCATATGTAGTAACACTTCTGCAGGGAATTGGGACCGGGAGAGGAGGGTCAGGCTTGGAGCTCATTTTTAGAAGGAATTCCAAAGCACATGGATGTGGTGAAGGTCTGGTATGAAACAACTGCTCAGAACAGCCAATGCAATGCCATTAAATGGACCGTTTCAACCCAAATTATTCTTTGGATGATTGCAAAGTCCTTTCTCACATTATTCCAACAATTTATCTGTCTAGCGGAGAAAGCCCTTGCATTGTGAAATGCAGACATTGCAACAGCATCAATTGCTAGTCAAATAGCTAATAACATGCATCTTTAGTGAATTTATTTTTTTATGTATTTAAATAATTTATTTGGCCCATTATTTTTATGCATTATTATTTTGTGTATTTAAAGTGACGTATTTGTTCATTTGAGGACTTGTTTTGGATGGAGAGGTGAAAGAAGGTAAGAAAGTGATTTAAATGAAGCAGGCTCATTGGGGCATGAGCCTCACCTTGACTGTGAAAACTTGTAAAAATTTTCTGATCCATATTAAGAAATTCAATAATATCTCAAGGTTGGCATATACACAAGTACCCTTTAAAACTTCACCAGCAAATATTTTATTTGGAATATCACTTATCTTCACTGTTTATGAGAAATAGAGAACAGCTTAGCATAAGTGACCCCAGATGGGAGGGGTCTTGCCGTTCAATTTGTGAGATGGTGCTCACATTCAGCTCTTGGGAATGAAACAAGGCTGTAGAAATGTCTCGAGTTCAGCAAGTCTGCTAAAGTGGCATGGGGAAGAAGCCCTGGCTTTCACAGCAGATTACAGAGGTCCACTTGTGTCGTGGAACTTGCATTCATAACACAGCCACTCTTGTGCAGAACTGCCTTCACATACGCAACATTTGTTAGAGTTTAAAGCAAGCCCTTTCTAATTAAGAGTCGATGACATACCCTGCAAAACCAAGGTTTTCACAGGAGAGCAAATCTGACAAAAGAATCCCAAATGTCAGTAACTGACTCCATGTACAGTGGGATCCATGACCGTGCTGCTTGGGCACAGGAATAATGCAACTGCAAGCTGGTTGCGTTACTGTGGGTGTGAATCACAACTGCAGCTAATTCTTCCTCCACCTGAGAGAAAGTTTTAGCTACTCTCAAAGTGACAAATCTTGCGATTCTTAGCATGGTTTTGCTCAGATATCAAATTCCAGTTCATTTCAGGAGATTTTAGCATGGAGTAACAACTAAACAGGAACCTCAAGATTTGACTGGGTATATAATGATCCTCAAACTACAGGATGTCAAGGCATACAAAGCCTTTTGTTTTTCCTTCCATGGAGCCAGAAGCGTGTTAAGTAGTGATGTCCAGTAAAATATCAAAGTACACCATTCACAAAACAGTACTAATGATTAAAGGATCTCCAATTCAACCCAGTGACCTCAGTGGAATTCTTAAAGTCGAAAGCTATGACGTGGAGTATTATTCATTGCCCTTTCATTCGTGCTGACTACACTCTACTTCTTCAGAAGATAGAAAACCCTTTTGAACCTTACTATACTATAAAGCAGCTGATGATAGGAAATGTGTCTTAGCTAAGTGAATAAGACCATTCTAGGAATTAATTTTCAATATTCAATACCAAAATTGCAGAATTAATGACAATAGTTGCAATAGCAAGAGTTACCTGATAGATGAAATCACCACACTAGTGTTCCTGTCTGGGTAGTGGTAAGATACTGCTTTCCAGTTTTTCTGCTTTATCTCCTTCCTTTTCTTCCCCTCTCCTGCCATGCTCCCTCCAGCTGGAGATGAAAGAAGTCTGGTATTAGTCTCAGGTGGTGCTGTTCTCTTCCACCTAGAAGTGGCATCCTGGTCATGCTACACCACCTCCAGAATAAGTGAGGGTTGACATGTGTTTTTTAAAGTTGAAAAGCCCCATGTAATTCTAAAAAGAAAAAAAAAAAAAAAGGCACATAGAAGCAGTAAAGTGCAAGCTGTGTGGCTCCTCCTCTACCTTAAACAATCTAAGTCCATATTGAACAGAAATGTTTTAAGAAAAGGTTGCTCAGTTGTGAAGGAAAAACATATATGTTTTTTATGTTCTAAAGAAGCTTCTGGTGCTCTCAGCAGCATTGCCAGCAACAATATGGATCATGTGTACGCTCTTAATATTTCCAGGATCCAGCTGATACAGAATTTTTAACCTCATCACTCTCAGAATCACACTCAGCCTCCATTTCAACCAAGTTCCAACCAAACCCCCATTAATAAAGAATTGTCTACAGCAATGATACCTTTTCAACAGTTGCCTCAGTCACTGCCCTGCTGATGCATTTAGGGCCATAAAACCTTTTATGAACATTTAAATTTTGGTTTGGTGACCACATGAGTGGTTTGACTGCTCATTCCCGCACATAAATGGGACGCCTGTCACAAGACACTGTTCTAGCTTTTGGGCCTTTGTCCTTGTACCTCTGGTCTTGGCAGTTTTTTCAGCACTTTTGCCTTAGGCATTTTTGCAATCTTTCGTGTTAGCACCTCCTGGCTTTAGCAACTTTGCAGCCTTAGCTTATTGCCTCAAAGCTTTGGCATGAGTCTGCACAGTGGCATCCTTTCAACTCCAAACATACTTGCTTCACAGGTTTTCCTTGGGCTTTTCTTGGATGTCAGCAACTGCCCTGACCCTAGAGGGGGAAGAAAGACTGATCAGCAAGTTCAAACAGTGTCTGTGCAGCAGAAAGATGTCTATCACAAATGAGCACATTCACTACATCACTTGCCGGATATTGCACATGCTCAGGTACCATGAGAAATTTTTCCAGGCATTCTTCAAGATTATTCCTATAAATCTTCTGAGAGCCTGTGATGACTGTCTGGAGAAAACCCTGGCAAACTTCATAATCTCAGACTGTAAGACCACTGTGTCTCCATACTCCAGTGGATAGAGTTTCCATGATTAAAGTATTTTCTCTTTCACTTCTCTTCAAAGCCAAGAAAACCCATCAGACAGAGATAGATGTTGAGTTTAAGGGCTGGTAGTTCAGGGTGACAAGTGCTGATTTGGTAGATGAGCCACAACCACCGGGAGACACCCGGTTATCCTTTGTACTGCCTCTACTAAAATACTCCTTTTCTGGTAGTATCACATCTTCTTTTCATTACATTCAGGAAAATGAGTTTTAGAAGTCTTAAAATGGAAGAATCCATGATGATGAGGACAAAGGTTCATGCCAGGTTAATCTTGGTTTTCTCCATGTATTTTCCATGTATTTCTCTGAAGGTCCTCGTCAGCAACTGCCTTCAGTGAAGGCTCAAGTTTAGAAATGCTTTTTTTTTGGTGAATTCTTAATTGTCACCTGTTATGTCCTGTAACTTCTTTCTCAAAGACCTTTGCATAGCTAACTCAATAATCCAGATTTCAGCTCACCAGAAAAGTGGAAAGGTGAAAAAAAAGCAACTGATGCTGCCTAAAATTAGCGAGACTCCGCCTACCATGTATCTCTGTCTATAGCTGAGGAAGCCAGGCCAGGGCTTTCCCAACAATTTGGAAACAATTGGCTTTTTCTATATATTTTAGTAGGTGCTGGACCTAGAATCTGTTTGCTTGGAATCTGATTGCAGATTCTCCAGAATAAATTAAAAGATCATACAAAATTAGCAGGAATTTTTATGTCATTGTTTCCCCAAAGAAAACACTCTTCTTACCCAATAAAATGAACTTGCAGTTCATTTACTAATCCAAAACTATGGATGTCCTTCATAAAATGGAATCCTTGAGATATTTTAAAGTGACATTTTTCTGATTTTCCAGTGGATATTTTACAGAGATTAAATTTGCTAACTGTAATAATATGCAGAGAAAGTGGAAAAATAACTTTTTTCCACATCATGTATAGTACTGTACATAAAAAGAAAAGAAGCAAAGTAGAAAGTACTGCCATGACTTCAATAATCAGAACCTTTCCTTTAGCATCTAAGAAATGACAAGTAAGAAAGTTTTAATATAGGAGAGGATTTTTATTTGCATTTCTTAACAATAAGGGTAGTTTATACTCCACCTGGTGTCTTTTCTCACATCATCTTTTATGGGCTTCTCTCAGTGACAAGTACCTTTGTACAAAGGTTTCCTCCCCCCTTCTCCCCCTTCTCTGGTTCTAACTCTCTAGCAGGCTTCAGCATACAAACACAATGGGAGCATTGAAAGGAAGACAGTGGGACACCTCCTTTGATCTTGTGTTCTAATAACTTGTGTATGTTTGTGTCCAAAAACAATGTTCCAAGGCTGTGAGGACTGCTGCTGCCGAAAAGAATACTCATCACAGGGGCGGTGGAATAGTTAAATTGTATTCAGGAGAAAAAAGTACTGGCCAATAATGTAAACAGCAGACTGTAAACTCTACTGAAACGCTTTGATGACTGAAGAGAGCCTCACTCCACAGCTGACAACACAGACATCATAGGTCTGTTCAAAGCATGGCACTGAGGGTCACCATTAAATCATACAATTCCCTATTACTTTTCATATCCATTCTAGAGGATACTCACTGCACATGGACAAAAGAAACATGTCTTGCATTAAAGCAAATGGCTACTGTCAGATAATCCAGCTGAGCTCCTCTGCTCTGCTGCTACTTGCTCAATGTTGTTGGGGTTTGTTCAGCTACAAGAAGCTGAATTTCTGTTTTCATCTTTCATTTTGAAACTCACTGGTGCTTTTCTTTCTGAAAAAGGAAAAAAATATTGCTGGAAAAACAATTGGCATGGGAACAAAGTAAGACCAGTCAGACCTTACACACAGAGCACACTGCTTGTGTAGAAGCCACTTCTGACAAAGTGGCGACCCACAGCAAGGGGCAGAGGAAGGAGAAAGTTGTTGATCACTGTCTCATTACTTACAGCTATGGGGAGGTAAAGTCTTATACTGTCACATGTTGACAACTCTGCAACCTTTGGAAAGAAAATGTAAGAATAATATATATATAATATATAGGTGCATAAATGCACCTATATTTTGTATTTAGGCCCCATCTCTGGAGTATTTTCAGCATATTTGAAACAGACTTTGACAGTCACCCAGGCCTGATTTCCAATGTGATAGCATTTGTAAAACTCTCATGAAACGTGAAAGGCTTGAATTCAATGTGTGGTGGTTTAGCACAGCACTTGTATGTTAGTTTTGCTGAGTTTTTTAAAAATAAGAATGGAGTTTATTGAAGTTCTGTTGCTATAGTAAACAGGGTTGGTGCTGTGCTTACAAGTAAGCAAGTGTAAGAAGTGTCAACTTAATAAATATCTGAAAAGGATAAAAAATGTTAGTAAAACTACCTTTTAAGCTCTGCATGAATTATAACAATTCCAAAGTGTTTTGGCAAACACTCATAACCATATTGCACTGGGAAAGAAAACTTTACTCTAAAAACTCTGCTTGGACCACCATGTCACTGCACAAATCTGGCTCCAGTAACTTGCCACAAGTATTTTGTCATTCTAAAATCACCTTGGCTATAAAATAATGCCTTCTTTTGAACATTAATATACAGCAGAATAAACACTCAGGTTTATCTGAGTTGTTTACACATTGAGTCATTGGTTACTACTGATTTTCCCCACAGGTACCCTGTGCACACCAAGGAGTGGTGTTGGTACAAAGCCTGTGATGCAGCAGGAATACAGAGACTGACACAGGTGAGGGGCTGAGGCACAGAAACTGCCCTTCCCCATTTCCCTGTGTGTGTTTCTGCTCTGCAGCACCAAGCAGAGCCCAGCTGCCTGTACCCACAGACAGTCTTGGGGATGAACTACCTGAGAGTACAGCAGGAAAGATCCAAACTCAAACTGTTGAGCGTGGTCCTGGCTCAGTGCTCAGCCTTTGTGCAGCTTACCAAGGTTGTTGAATCAGAAGCAGACTCGTTTCAGGCACAGACCCAGGGAGATGCAGGCACACAGCAGGAGCAAAGAGCGTGTCAGCACTGCCCAGCACAGCACACAAACTCTCCAGGTGACGAGACACAGACAGAACCCTGTGTGCAAGGAATTCCTTGCAAGGAAAACAGAAATCACTAAAGCTGTTCAGCTATATTGAGGCCACCAGCACAGCACACACAGCTTGATCTAAATTGTCCTTGCTGTTTACCTATATTCTCTAAACTTTGCTGTGGAAAACAGTTTTGCTTTCAAAATTTACTGAGTTTTCCTCTTACAAGGTGCATCCAAAGGATGCAAACACTGACTCATATAGCTAAGACACAATCTTTAATGAGCTTAAAATCAAAGTCTTCTTTGCTTCTACATGGAAACTTCTGAAGGAGTAGCAGATGGACAGATACAAAATGACCAAGTAAACTCTGAATATTTAATTTATTCTTCTCTTCTTTTCTTTTACCATTACCTATCAGTGTTACAAGACCTTGCTTCTACGAAGCACACTGCACATCGATTTGAGTTGTGTGCTCGATACATGGCCTCTTCACTGTACCTCTGCAATATTTTCTTATGGCATTAATGACATAATAATGCATAATAATTATTGCATTCAGATAGGCTGCATTAGTTTGAATGAAGATAACCCATGGAGATCCACTTTGCTGCTCTGTTCTACTTTCTGTGTCCTTTTTCATTGTGTATTTTCAAATACATGACAGAAGCTACAGGAATTCCATGATTTGCATAAAACTAACAAGCCCTCAATTCTTCTGCTGGCATTCATAATTTTGCCATGGTGGTTTTGAACTAGTTCCAGACCACGTCTAACCAAGGCAGAATTTCTGCCAGCGTCCTGCAAAGGCAGAGTGCATCATAGCAGGCTTTCCCTCTGTTTTGGCAGCCAAAGGGCAGACAAGTGAAAGAACTCAGACACATAAACCACACACCTTGTACTTCCTCACAGCTTCTTGCAATATCTTAAGAGAATCTTTCCCTGTAAGACTCCTTCAGTATCATGAGGCAGGTATAGGACCATGGCTGGGTCACAGCTGCTAATACCACATTCACACAATAAGAGAATAGATAAATTTATTTATCCAAATTTAGATTTTAGATAATAGAAATTCCTGAACATATACTGGCTAGAATTTATGTTCCTCTACAGTCAATGGAGAGAAATGGGTGATTCATGTGACCTATTTTATGTCTCTATGAAGTTGGAATGAATCATCTCCTAAAAGTACCTATTAGGACATGATTTGTCTCATCTTAATATAGACATTTAAAATAGGTCAGATGAACAGGTTATTCCCCTCCCCTGGCTATAAGGGGAGAGCAGGTGACCAGATCTAGTGAAGATATTGTAGATAGTTAAAGTTGGGTGAGATGCATTTTTAATGTTCTTCTTCCCCTGGTCTTGAAGGGAGAGGTGACTTTTCTTTTTTTAAACACAAAAAGAATACTCCTGCATGCTATGCACTGTAAACCATTCAAGAGATCAGAGGGAACAAAACACTACCACGCTGGACAAGGCTCAAGTGGGATGTACAAAAGTGAGAGGTCACAGCTCTGTCACTGTACAGAAGACAGTCAATGTGAAAGTTACAGGTGTGTTCAGCCCATTCTTGTATGTGTAGTTGTGGGTCTGTGGAATGTTTCAAGATGTGTTTCCTGTTTCTGCAAGGAGTTAGAATGTCACCACAAAAAGTTTCTTACTGCTCTGGTTTTAGGGTCTGCTCTAATCAGCCCTCTTGTGCAGAAAGATACTGTCCATAACAATACTGTGACCAGATCAGCCATTCCCATCAACCTCCAGCAGACAAACACATGCAAGAACAGCTATGCAATCTCTGCTTCCCTGGTACTCCTAACCAGCTAAACAGTGGGAGTCTGTAGCTTACATAGGCTCAAGGAAAGTTTGAGCAGACCAATAGAAGGGAAATCCAGTGACAGTTTCTAAGCAGAGAGAAGTCATTCAAACTCAAGAATTCCCTGAATAACAAGTTGTGAGAGACTGAGAGATGATTGAGTGGAAGTATCATGATATGTTAACCCTATTATATTCTTCCCCAGGCATCTGCTTTTGGTCGCTGTTAGAGACCAGTGCCCTGTTCAGCAATTCTTGATCTACCTACCACAAAAAAATAAGTGGATCATGAGTGTTTCAGACAAGTTGAAGAAGTTCAATTAGTACAGTCTCCATGGAAGTGAAGAAGAAAATTCTTGCTCCAAGTTCAGCTAAGCCCCTGAGCTGGTCTGGAGGCTCCATACTGATTTCAAGAGACCCATGAGGTACTATTCAGTCTCTTCATGTCTGAGTAGCTGTACAATAATATCCACATTATTAAAATAAAATCTTGTTTCATAAGACAGTTTCCTCATATGTTCTGAGTATTTCCTACTGAGAGTGGGAAGGCATTAATAAAACTGGATTTAAAATTCTACAAATCAGCATAAATCTCTATGGAAAAAGAATATACTTCAGCTCTTCCCTGCTGTTGTATTATTGTTGAATACCCTATGGTTCTCCACAAATTCTTTTCTGTAGCACAAACCAATGAGACGGATAATAGAGCTTTTGTTTATAAATTCTATATTCTCTTTACTATAACATCTAGTATTTTAATAGCTCATGTTTCACACAATGGAATCATACTCAGAATTATGGCACCCTGGCAAATAGCTAAGGAGTTTAAATGTATCAGTCTTAAATCAGGCCAAACAGGACTAACAACCTAAAGCTGACATAGCCTCCCCCCAGCCATGAAGGAAGAGGTTTAACAAAATTTGTCTGCTGCATTGCTTCCTTGGGTAGAGCACTGGGGCTGCCTCCAGCTGGTCACAAGGCTCTGAGCCCAGCAGTTCAGCCAGGGTTCAGCCCACCTGCCTGTGCCTTCATCCAGATCATCCTCCATCCCTCTCCATCCCTCTGGCAGCAAGGATGTTACTGTGTTAAACAGTGTCAAAAGTTTTACTAAAGTCAAGATGAACAATGTTCTCTGCAACACCCACCTTTCTAGGCAGGGATTATTTCCGCCTTTCATAATCAATGCTGAGCACTCCCAGTCACCCTCTGTACTAAGCATGCTTGGAAATGGGTTCCAAAGCATTTGTTCCATTGCCTTCCCTGGGACCAGGGTGAAGCTGACTGGTCTGTCAGCTCTCAGATTCTCCTTTTCGTCCTCCTTGTGTCACTTTTGCTTTATCTCAGTCCTCAGAAGCCTCTCCCAATAGTGGTGACCTTTTAATGATAGCTGAGAGTAGCCTCACAGAGATATCAGCCAGCTCCCAGTGAGTGCATCCCATCAGTTCCCATGGACTTGTGAACATCCAGCTTCTTTAAACACACTCTAAACACTTCATTGCTTCAGACTTTCTCACTGGGCTCAAGAGCCTGAGATTGCTGGGGGTTGCTTTTACCAGGAGAGAACGAGCTGGACTTCAGTGAGGACCTTGGCCTTCTCTTTGTCCTTTGTCTCTGAGCCCACCACCCCATTCAGCAGCAGATCCACAAAGTTTAGCTGCTGATCCACTTGCAGAAGCCCTTTTTGTTACCCTTCCCATCCTTTGCCTAATTAAACACCAGCTGGGCTCTGACTTTTCCAGTCCCAACCCCACATTTGCATGGGTTACTGGAGTCTCCAGTGTGGAACATGCCTGAAGTTTGTGTCTAGAGCCAAGCACAAATTCAATGTACCAACCTCAGAAGTAAACATGGAATGCTCTTTTGTGTAAAAACTGGCAGGAGACTGATTTTGCAAGGACCACAAACTATCCCAGCCACCCATAATTTTCACTTTAGCAATTAAAAGAATCCAGATGTGATTCTCTGCATTCATTTAAAGGAAATTAGACAAAAGGAAGTATTAGAAGCAAATATAAGAGTTTCAAACTGCTACAATGGTCCAAGGCTTTGTCAGGCTTACAGCTGGGATCAGAGCTGTGCAGAAAGTAGGTTTTCTGCTATGTAGGAAATTCCACAATTTCTTTTTTCATTCTAAGCGAGGACAAAACTCTTTATTTATTTTCATAATTTTTTTAAAGTTCTTTTTGGGTTTAAACTAATGGTTCTGATTTTTAGGCTTTTCCTAACTACAAAAAAGTTTGTCTTCTTAATTTTAAACAATGGAAAAGCTACTTACAAGGTCAAAGTGTTCTATTCCAAAAATATAAAGAACTTCTGTTTCAAGTCTATTCAAATATTCTGCTCCACTATTTTAATACATAAAGCATTGTCAAAAGTGAACCATTTATATGGATTGCCATTTTGCAATGAAGAGCAGTTCCACAATAAATTTTCTGACCAGTTCCAATTTAAATGTGAGAGAATACAGAGATTATGATTACAAGTTGTTTTGTATCTTCAGTGGTATTACTTATCCCTTTCATCTCCTAAGGGCAAGGATGACTCAGAAAAATATGATCAAAAATACAGGTCCTAGATATAACAAATATAGTAATTACGTTTCTTATTTTATCTTAAGATATCATGTAAAAAAATTGTTTCCATTTCCAATTAACCTGACTCTTTATTTACTTAGGTTCATCTTCTCAGAGATTTTAGTGAGCAAGGTACACTTTCATTTCAGAAGCAGTTCAGTGTCTCTATTTCAGTTCTGCCATAAAGGAAGAACATTTATTTCTGTCAGTTTCCTTTACAGCCATACTGCAGGGTGCCTCTGATTATGCTAAACATTTGGGCCAGTTAAAGCCAGTTAGATTTATTTTATGTGTTTTTATACTGCAGATTTTAACATTTCCTTTGTTAGGACACCAGGATTTTTTCACCACATGAGATGCAAAAATTAATAATACTTTGTTTTTCTAATACTGAGTTAACAGTCACACCATACAGCATCTAGCCTGACCCTGAACAAGAACTCTAGGCCCACCAGATATTCCAAATAGTACAGACATAATCCTATTAGAAAGATAAAATAATATAAGAGAAAACAAAGCAAAAGGAATCTTAAGTATGTATATTCCTCTTTAGGCTTCACAACTGAGCAGTCCCTCTGAAGCCATCACATTTCATTACAGTGGAGCTTTCTGGTCCAGCCCTGTGCATAGAAAAGGCAGCTGCATATCCTTGAGTTCTTTCCAGCCTGCATTCGGCACAGATTTTGAGTATAGGATGAGCATCTGACCTTTAAAAAAATCTTAAATTCAGAATATATAAAACAGGCTGCTTAGCCATTCTTCTTATTTCTAAAGGAGATTAAATGCAGTTGAAGAAACTACACTGCATTCAGAAACTGGACCCTTTGGAAGAAAGGGTGACATTTTCTCAAAAAGAAAGTCCACAGACTAGGACTTTTCAACTGTTTCAGTATAAAAGAGCCAAATATAAAGAGCAGGAAACCATTCTGTACTTTCAGAATAATGTGAAAAAGACAACCCAAGAGAGCTTTAATACCTGAAATGCTCTTAAATCCTAAAGAAAGACTTTTTGTAATACTATATCAAAAGGGGAAAGGGAAATAGCCCAACACAGTGCTTTCCTTTTTTCAGCATGATATGGATGTGGAAAGTATGTTAATTCCCATATTCTCAAAGGAAAACAAATAGCATAAACAGACAGACAGGAGAGGAAGAGAGCTGTATGTTTAAAATAATAGAGAAACCCACCACTCATTTAAGCTGTTAGCTCTGGCAAGGCTCAGGCTGTGTGTCCAATCACAGGACCTACAGTTTATGTCAAGGCTTGTTTCAGATGCATTCTGCACCAACTCCACCAAACGCAAACACAATTAGAGCATTCAGCATCAGACAGTAGGAGATCCCCTTTGATGTTGGGATAAAATGAGGATATGCATGGTTTTGTCCAAAATGACAACCATCCCAGGTTTACTAATGGGTATCTAATAGAAAAAGAGAACTTTATGATGCTCATTAATTACCAAACTGTCATGTGCTTCTGGCAGAAAGAAAGTAATCCTCTTCTCCAGATTAGACAGCCACCACAAAGGACTTCAAAGAACTTTCAGTCCCCTCCCCTGAGAGCTGCCTTGCATAAACCTCACAGCACTAACCGTGCAAATTAAAAGAAGGGAGCAGTTGACAAACCCTTCCTGATACATGCGCAGTCTATTGCTGTTGGCAGTTCAGACACGAGCCCTTATTCTGCTGGCAGATGTGCACATTTTCTGTACAGAAAATGTGCTCTAAATTTCACACAAAACTTTACAAATTATCGGTAAACAATGCTTTCCATTCTTGCTTTCAAACCCAGAGATATTTGTGCTGAAGGTCCTTTGGCAGCAATAAAAATTATTTTTTAAGAACGTGAATTTGTAGGAGAAATACAGCTGAAAGTCTAGTTCTCAGAAATTTTCCTCAGATGCTGTTCTTAATAAGGAGCAGCTAAAGTATGCCTTTTTCTGGCAATTCGCCACAATGGGTATAAAGGGCTACAGAAATCATCCAATATGAGAATGGATGTGTGAGGGAGCATGAAGCACTCACAATGATTCTCCTAGTTTAAATGGTCAGACATTTATGGATTTGGAGATTTTGCCTTCAACACAAATTCCTTCATTTGCTTTTACATTTCTATAAACTCTTTATATGTGACTTTTTTTTCTTTTCCCAGAGACTGAACTACAGACTTCAAAGTAGGCATATTTCACATATTTATGATTGTCACCCAAATGCATGTTATTTATGGTTGTTTTCAGAAAGGTCTGAAACAGGGATAAAGTCTGAATTGTCTCTCAGGAGGAGCGAGGGGACAGGTACTTGTGATGTTTGGGTGACATGTGAATTTTAGATGACAGGATTGTGTTCCTCAACATATTTGACTCTTGTTTTCTTTATTTACTCACGTAGATACAAATCACTTTACTGACAAGGTGAAAGAAAATGAGCCCAAATTTTCATCCAGTAGGACATCTCTCCTTGTATTATCAGAACAAATTTATGATCTGGGGAAATAATGTATTGCTGACATGTTTTTACAGATTTAACACTAATGGGCTTACATACAGGGATGGCAATAATGCTTTGTCCATTATTACTGTATTGGAAAATTAGGAAATGCTCTCCCAACCAGAGCAACTACCAGGTAAAGACATCCAACTAGAACTACATAAGACAAAAACCAGATGGCTCCTTGTGCCTCTGTTAACTCCTGATAATATGCCTAAAGGAACTGGGTCATCAAAAGCATGAGTACACCCAGAATTTATACAACTGACAAAGTTCCCACTTCATTGAGTGGAACAATGGATTTGTTCTTTCAATAATAGCCTACAGGGTGTTGAAATACTTACCTGAGAGGGATGCTGTATTGGAACAGAAAGCCACAGTGAAATCATCTGGTAAATGAAGCACTCCACTCCACTCCAGCATGCAGTTCTTCTTCACATAATCATGCTTAATGCTTTTTCCATCACAGAAGAAAATCCTGGTATTTTAAATTGAAATAAAGACACAGGATGTGGAACAATGTACAAGTTGCTACTGGGCCTTCTAAGAAACAGAAGTACTCTGGCAGAAGCTGTTGCTATTATGTGTCTAAGCTCCAAGCTGACAAACATCCATGCTGTGTCTTAGTTTAGGCAACCCTGATCATGAGTTTTTCTAAATGACTGACAATAAATATTTCATGCAATCTTTTTTTTTAAGCCATTTGTTCATTCTATCATGTGATTACTGAACAATGACAGACCTGCAGCAAATATAAGGTAAGGTGTCCTTTCACAAAGGAGAGCAGATATCAATTCTGAACCTCTACAAACAAATGTAGAATGGAAATGCACTGATTTGCTAGTCCCATATCTCGAACAAACATTTCTAGGACACTTGAGCACTTTTGTATCTTTAAGACAAGCACTCACACAGCTCAGACATATAAAAGTTACTACAAAATGGGGCCTCTATCAAGGGGTCATCACCTCACAAAATCTGCTTTACAGTCAAGTAACCTCTATTTCCTTCTTATTTTCAAAGCCTTCCCAAAAGTTTTAGCCATATGAAGTAACAGCAGTGATTCAGATATACAAATCTTTAGGTCTTGTTTTCATCACAGGAAAAAAACCCACACACTAAGCTTAATTAAAGCCTAATATACCCTTTTAAAACAGCTTACAGTACCCATGCAACCTTCATTTTCCTGCCACAATGCCATCTTGCCCTCCCTGCATTTACTGTATTCCTTAAAAATATCTAAAAATCTTAAATAATAGCTTATAATTATTCCAAATAGCTTCAGCTAACAAAATATAGACCATGAGTTCATCTTTCCACAGAGCATGATGGAAAGAAAGGGAAAACCAGCTGGAGGTAAATGGTAAAAAACAGTCATTTGTACAATGAACTGTGCTGTGAGATAATCTCAGTTGACTGTGACACAGTCTTACTCAGAAGCAGGTCTAAACAAATTCTGGAGTTATGTGGAAAGGATTGTTGGAGTTGCCTGAGCTAGTTAAGAGCCTAGAATGTGTTAGGATGAAGGTTCTGTACTGGATTCAGGTATAACGTGCTTGGGATGAAGCAATGAACAGACTCACAGCAGGAATGCTGATTGGAATCCAGGTGTTTGTCATGAGGGTCACACATTAAAGTAGGGCTATTGAACAAGTGGAAAATATTAGCTCATGATCAGATAGCAGATGCTTTCATAACTATGAAATCTATGAGATCTATGGTTTATAAGACTACTCACATAGGTCACTAAATGGGTGATTGCAAATAAGTTAGTCATGCTTACCTGAAGTGTTAACTATATAAATGCTTTCATGAAATCACAAATTACCCATTTGTCATTGCTGGACACTTACCAAGCTTGGAAGCAATGCAGCAAGTATAAAAAATGCTGATACCCACAAAGCACTCCAGATGAGTCTCCAGTGTACCCAGCCAATGACAGCCCATAACTGTGGGGACATAATAACTGATCTTGAGAGGATGATCAGAGCAAATAAGTTTATTGTCAGATTATATTTGATGATATAAAGTTAAGAAATTGGGAAAATAGCTCTATTTACTCTGAAGGCTCTTCTGAGGGTGTTTGTATCTTGAAAATAATCCCAATGTTAATGCAGAATTGTGAGTGCATTTCCTATTTAAAAAAATAATCAGTATAATAGCTGTTAAGAAGATTTATCTGATGATCCTGTTGAGGGTCAGAACAGCTTATCTGTTCTTAGAACTGTAAAGATAATATTAAACATGCAAAGGAGCAGCTATGGATGTAGACAAAGCTGCTCAGTAAATCAAAAGGCTCCCCTGCTATGCTACACAGCACACAAACAGCTTTAGCTCCAGCTCTGCACACACTGACAGCTACTTACATGAATTTTAACACTAGGACACAACATTATGATGATATTTTCAGAGCTGTATTTTTTCTATTCTGATGTCCCCCGCTCTCTGTCAGCCTTCGCTGAGTGACTAACTTCTACACTTGAAAGAGGCAGAGAAGGCAGAAATGCTGGTGGACTCTGGCAGTGAGCACTGAAAGCTGGAGTTTGCACCTTGGGCTGTGGAAGAGCTCAGAACCTCCCTGGTACAGGAAAGGCCCATGCCAGGGTCAGTATGCACAGCACACGTAAAGCCTAAAGCTAGCTATGATATAAAACTCCAATTTAACCTTCCTCTTGAAATCACAAATAAATAGTTAGATATGGAGAACATATACTTCAGAAGTTCTCCTCATGCCTCTAGAGCAGGACTATCAAGTTTCAGCTTTGTGAGCTGATAACCAAGTAAAGGAACGATACAACCAGCAGTTCAACAACCAGTGTTGGTTATGGGAGAAATTCCTGGGAAGGCAGATTTCTGTGAGAGAGAAGTGCTGCACACCATGGGCAGGGAGCTCTGCCAGGCTGGGCAGGGAGGGTGTGCATTACTGGGGTCAATTCTTTTCACAGGAAATGAGGGACAAAGGATCAATTGCTCGTTGGAATGAGAATTAAATCAACCAGAAATCAACAAGGGGGGACGGGGCAGATGTAGAAAGTTAAGACTGATGGTGTTGTCCTGGTAATTTAAGTGCAGGTTGCAGTACCTAAGACTTTCAAAATAAAAAGTTTATGGACTAAAGTACTGCAAATAGATGTCTCTATTTTGTGAACTACTATAAGGTGATTAGCCAGGTAAAAGAAAAAAAATATTCTAACATTTAGACTGTATTGAAATTAAACATTCCTTTCAAGTAAACACCTCTATAATAATCCTAGATTATACATGCTTGAATAAATACAATTGAAAACAAAAATTAAAATTTGAGAGTAAAATATTTCAGGGGTGAACAATATTAAGGGAACATTTTTGGTTCTACCAACCATAGTGCAGCTGAGACTAAAAACAAACAAACAAAAAAAAATACTGTTTACTTGAGGTGGTTTTTCCATATGGAGAAACATGTTTTGATATCTGCATTTTTGCAGAACCTTGAGTAGCTTAGGAGTTCTCTCTCAGCACAATTCATCCAGCTGTCTAATGAGGTAAGAGTGCTGTGATGGAGGATTGGCAGGCAGAACAGGGTCCTCAGTCTGGTAGTCAAGGAAGAGAAGGCACAGTGAATGGACAAGGAATTTAGTTTCAATGTTTATGAAGAGAGAAAGCAAGGAAACTAATGAAAAGGTCCTAATCTCTTTCCAGTAGGCTTAGTGAAGTCTTAGTTTTGCAAGTTTATGTAGTAAGATATCACTTGACTTATCCAGTGTCATAAACTGTTATTACTCATAAGTTATTGGAGGGCAGAGAGACATCTCTTCAGCTGGGGGATGCCCAGCTGTGGGGGGTCAAAGGACACAAGGTCTGGATTGATGATCCTTAGTCCTGTGCAAAGAGGAAAACCAGGAGATGTAACTGCCATCTCAATTACAAAGACTGGATCTAACCCCAGAGAGGAATAAAGAAGCTGAAGCTGGAAAACTCCCTAGATTTTATTTTTTTTTCACTAACCTTAACAACTTCTTTAAAGAAAGAATTTCATCAACTTGTGCAAGACACTGAAGAGACAGAAAGGGGGTAGTTTCTGCAATAGCAGTGATTTGGACATACTGCTAAGTTCCTTGCTATCTGGTAATCACAGATTTATTTATCAATCTTGATTGGAAGGAACTCCTCAGTCATCTGTTCCAAACCTCTGTAACTTTTATATCTGTTCAGTATTTCCTTTGGTGCAACCTGTGACCACTGCTTCTCAGCCTTTCACTGTGCATCTCCAGGAAGAGTCTCATGAGTATTTAGGGTCTGCAACACTTTGTCAAGTTAATGATTCAGTGTCATGTTTCTAAGAACTACAAGCTGCTAAGAGAAAAACAAGGCATGCACAGATTAACGCTATCATCCTTCCTGATTCCAGCAAGTGGAAATTTAGGAACACTGAGTCTGCAATTAGCAGTGGTGCTTAATTAGGTGTAGATTTAATCCTTTCTGGAATCTATTTAGCTTCCACAAAATTCCGTAGTGGAAAGTGCTGCAGTTGACTTATGAATTATGAAAAAGTGCTTTCTTCACTTGAAGTGAAGCAAATTGAGCTCTCCCAGTTTTAGCAATATTTTATTGGCAGCAAGTGAGATGAAGATGCACAGCTTCTCTCGATGATTTATGCAATTTCAGTGGCAATGGATCTCAAGGATGTTTTCAAACTTTAGAGTTAAGGGAAACAGTTGAAACTGTTGAGATAGCAAATGTTAACACCCTCCGAGAATTTCTCTGCATAATAAAGTTTACCATCAGAAGTATCACAATGAAGTTTTTCCACTAGACTTCTAGTCGTGTAATTTCTCATGTGAAGACACTCCAAAATAGGCCAGCTCACCCAGGATTTGCAGCAATATAGATATCATAATATATTATAGATTGACTGGTAAATCTATATGTGTACATAAAGATTGACTGGAACAATGCAAAGAAAGAAATTTGGAAATGGAGATTTATTTTTCCCCTAAAGGACAAGCTCTTGCCCACTTTTAAGATCAAAGGCAAATTGCAAAGATGTTATCAAGAAAAACATCTCTGTGTCAGTCCAAATCACTAATCACTTTAATATCCTCTATGATTTCTTCTGTGTTAATGTTGAAAGCGCTGCTTGTCAGAACACTGAACCTGAAAATTGAAAAACTCTCCTCTTAAAATGATATTTTTACTTATGCTGACTTGATTGCTGCTGTTGCCCTCCCTCCAGTCTGATGCCACCATCTGTCCATGCTTTCCAAGAGTTCAAATATAGTTATCAAAGCAAGTGAAAGAATAATAATTAGACCTTAGCTGAAATACCAGGTGTATTAGCAGCTTAGTATGTTCCAGAAAAAAAGAGTCTATGCTGTTCTTACTGTTCATGCTGGTGCTGAACTGTTTCTTAGCAGCTTCTTCAAATTTTCCTTCTGTAGACTTTCCAATAAATGCCTTTAAAACTCACTGCTGTGATCTCTACCTCCACTTTTGTTTCAGTGTTGAGTCATTCTATTTAACTCCCTTTGTAGCAGCAAACTGCCCTTTGTATAAACTGAACCTAGTTAAGAATTCCCTTTTGCTGCGAATCCGACCGGAATTCTTAGCGGTACACAATGTCATACACCATAGCAAGGTGTTTGCTCCAGTATTTCACTCAAAAGCACTGGGCTTTGTTCTGATTCACACACTTCAGATAAGATCAGAATCAGGCCAACAGTTTCTGCCAAAAGAGCATACAAACTGAAAGGCAGAGAAGATAAAACAGACTCACTCCAAGAGATTCAGAGAATGAAAGTAGCAAAAAGCTTTTTAACTTTTTCTGTTTTGGCTGGAAGTGATGCTACCCTGTGTAGAGCATCCATAGGCCCTGTGAAAGCAGAGAGATCTACAGAGGTATTAGAGAGGAAAGTAAAAAGAAAAATGAACTGGTAAAAAAATAGAATTAAAACTTTAATATGTCACCCTGCTTCAAAGAAGGTTGCTTTGATCATACTGCATGGTGCAATCACACTCAGATTTTTAGAGACCTCAGGACTACCCCCTTTGTAAAGAAACATTAAGAGTCAGGAGAACAATTTATTACTGTGGCATCTGTCCTTCTGACATATATCTTCCCCTTGCTAATTGACCATTCAGGAACTAAAGCAAGAAGCATTCTTAGCTTTCAGTGCAGTCTGGCTCCAAACACAGCTGCAAGGTGAATGGAGGAAGTTTCCCTCCAGCTTGCTCTTGCAGGGACAGGGAACAGTGGTCTGCAGACAGCACACTGGGCTCTTGTCCTGTTGCATCCTGAACTCAGCAACTCCCATCCTAGAGAATGCCTCCCCTGCCCCATCCAGCTCTTGCTGGATTTTGCTTTTACCCTTCATATGTTCTGTCACAGCACATGGACAAAAAGACAGCTTTCTTGCCCGTATTTATCAGGGCTTGGCCCGCCACCAGTTCATAGTGAAAACTTCATGCCCATGTCAAGAATCTGTCTCAGCCCAAACTCTGTACTTCTGAGAGGCACAAGAAAGCCTAACATCTGTGCACATTACACAGCAACAGTAAATCAATTCTAAGATCATAAGCTTTGTCTGATATTAAAAGAGAGGAAAATAAAAGGCAGGACTTGGAGCAGCAAACACCTCACAGGTGCTAAAATGTGCCTGGTATTTTAACATGGACCCAAGCTATTGTTCATAAGTCTGGATGAACCAGACAAAAGCAAACCATGCATGCTACAAAACCATCTGCCAAGAGATAGCACAAGCCAACTCTCCCCAAATATGTGAATGCTTTAAGTCAAAAGTGCAGCTGGGCTAACAGTCATTGGGAAAGCGAGCATGAGTCATAGGGTTCAGTAGGCTTTAGCAACTCCTCGTGTCACAGCGCAGACATAATCTCACAATCTCACTCTGCAGTTCCTGGACAGCTGGAGAAGGACTTTGGAGAGAAACATGTTGTGCTTTCTTTCAAAA